TTTCTAAAGGGATGAGAAAAGAACAAATAAAACCCACAGAAGTCTTAAAACAAAACTAATAAAACAAAGAGACAAGGGTAAGGGGGTTGGTTATGCAATGGAAATGTGTTAGCACCCAAAACATCTATAATGATATATAGGAACCTCTTGAAACCGTGTTTGGCTTAAAATCGGTTGTTTGCAAAAGATTGGGAAGATGAGAAGAGAAATATTTCTTAAGATTTTTTTTGACAAGACTTCCTGAGTCTCGTGCCTACGTACCCACAAAGTGAAATGGAGGATCAAAACCTCATTGTTTGTGGTAAAAATAACAAAAGAGTTTTTCTGATTGATTTTAAATGAATAGACATTTTGTCATATTCAAGTGGAAAATTAACTTACTACCCACAATTAATGAGGAAGGAGAATTTTCATCATCTTAAGATGGAGGACTTTTTCTTGGATTGAAATCAACAACACTATCACTCAACATCTAAGTAGACAATATCATCACTTCCTATATTATTGTATAAGTATATGAGTTGCATCACTATAAGAACACAACTAATGACCATTCTTAAGAAAAAGTTTAAAGGAAAAGGTGCACAAAGGCACAAGAGATTTGAATGAGTTTTGTGTTTTTTAAGTCTTTTGAAATTGTTTTGATATGCTTAGGATGTCTTAGCATTTATTCAAGAAAAAAGATTTTGAAAATTACTTGACAAAGTCAAGGTTTATTGAGAAAGTGATTCAAGTTTGAAAATAAGAAGGTTTTAAAAAAAGGGAGAAGATTTTGAAAATTAAAGAAGGGGAGAAGATGAAGAGACTATCCTAAGAAAAACAATAAAGTAGAAGTGTGTGCAAGTGTACTAACCATAATCTAGCCAGCACTCGACAAGAGTTAATACCAAAATATCATTCCTTTAGAGTAGGCCACAAGCAACAAGCAAATAAACACAAGAGGATCCAGACGAATAAAGTCACAGAGAAACAGATAAGGTATCTAAGCTTGATTTCAGGCCACAGATATCAGAGGAACTCAAACTCTCAAGAAAGGCATGATATCATATGAACTTCCAAGTTTCAGCCAAGAGAACTCCAAGCATGTGAAACCATAATTCTATGATGTGTGTGTGTATATATATATATATATATATATATATATATATATATATATATATATATATATATATATATATATATATATATATATATATATATATATATATATATATATATATATATATATATATATATATATATATAATAAGTTATTTGAAGTCCCAAATCACTTAGTTTTGTGAAGGAAGTGAGAGTCCAATGTTATATATAGGATTCAAGTTCTTCATTCCAAGATGTACCAGTCAAAAGTACTTTAAGCTTGTATTTGACTTTTTTTATATTTTCTCTAATACTCTTGGTTTAGTGTGTTGTGAGGGGTAGTTAAATATTTGCTTTGGAGAGTGTGAGTGTATTGGGGCCTTGGGGTGGTTGAGGGCAGTCTATGTGTTGTAACACTTTTCACATATCATTATTCTATATTTGTCATTTGACAACGGTCGTGGTTTTTTCTTCGGTTTTGGAGTTTCCACGTTAATCTCTTGTGTTGTTATTGTGTTCCTCTTTTTTCTTTATGCTTGTTTTTTCTAACAAGTGGTATCAGAGTCTTGGTTTGATGGGGTATAAATTTTTTTAGTATGCTTTGTGGTTGCAGTTTTGGCTGATCTTCCACATCAGAAAATAAATTTTATACTCTGTGTTGGTTGAGAAAATTTTGTTTTGCTGCAGGGATGGTTTTGGTTGAAATGTCAAGTTTTTCAAGTGCAGTGAAGTTGACTTAGAGAAATTCGATGGAATAATTAACGCTGACTTGTAGAAAATTCAAGTCAAAGATGTTTTGACACAATTAGGATTACACAAGGCGTTAAAAGGAAACATTTCCAACATGGACAACGAGAAGTGGGAGGAATTAGATTTGAGAGTTTCGAGTATAATCCACATGTCTTTGACTAAGAATATTCTTGCAAATGTTCTTGGTACGTCATCAGCCAAAGAGCTTTGAAAGAAACTTGAAGGGTTATATCATGGAAAGGGTATATCAAATTGTTTATTGTTGAAGGAGTAGTTCCATAGCTTGTGTATGGATGAACATACAAAAGTTTCTGATAATCTAAGTGTTCTAAATGGTATTGTTTATGGTTAGAAACTATTGGAGTCAAGATTGATGATGAAGATAGAGCTTTGAGACTCATATGATCTCTTTCATATTCCTATGAGCATATTAAACCTGCTTTAATATATGAGAAGGAAACTTTGAGCTTTGAAGAAATTGCTAGTAAGATTATTTATTAAGAAAGAAGATTGAAGGGTGATGAGAATACTTCATCAAACTCAGTGTTGGTTGCTAGAGGAAGGTCGTTGTGAAGAAAAACAACGAAATAGGTATGAGATGTTTGAAATATAGAAAACTTATACATATAAAGTATAAGTGTCCCAATGAGGCTGAGTCAGAGAAGGACTCAGAGTCAAATGCTAGCAATCTCTCTCTCGTTGTAAGAGAGGATGATCTTCTCTGAAAATTGAGAAGTGTGTCCTCATGACATTTCCGCTGTCATAGAAAAGGACGAGTTATTGCTAGCGGATTAACACATGGGCAATAATGCCAAGTGTGTTGTGAGAGTATGTCGATGGTTGAAGAACTTCCTTCCAACAAGAAAGTTGCACCATAAATTTTCAACCTGATTTTCGATATGGGAAAATTCTTGAAGTGGTTTAACTTCAAGTGAAGTATACTCTTCTTTAGGTGGAGTAAATTAGTTTTTGAAAACTATGATTGTTGGTGAAGACAATGTGAAATTCTTAGAGTGGTGTTGCTTCAAGTGACTATACTCTTTATGGTGGAGTATGATTGTGGGTGAAGACAAATGAAAATTATGTATTATTTTCAATCAAGGTGGAGATTGTTGGGGTTGGTTAAAAATATACATGTTAAAGAAGTCTCACGTCGCTTAGTTTTGTGATTGAAGAGAGATACAAAATCTATATATATGATACAAGTTATTTGAAGTCCCACATCACTTAGTTTTGTGAAAGAAGTGGGAGTTCAATGTTATATATATGATTCAAGTTCTTTCATTCCAAGATGTACCAGTCAAAAACACTTTAAACTTGTATTTGACTTTTTTATATTTTCTCTTATACTCTTGATTTAGAGTGTTGTAAGGGGTAGTTAAATATTTGCTTTGGAGAGTGTGGGTGTATTGGGGCCTTGGGTGGTTGAGGGTAGTTTATCTGTTGTAACAATTTTCACATAGCATTATTCTGTGGTTGTCATTTGACAACGATCGTGGTTTTTTCTCCGGTTTTGGAGTTTTCACGTTAATCTCTTGTGTTGTTATTGTGTTCCTCTTTTTTCTCTATGTTTATTTTTTTCTAACACAAATGATCTTAAACGGTTGTTTCGATCTCTTTTATAGTGGTGCGAGGTGGAATTATGTTTAACATTCCAATACCCAAGGCAATTCAAGATTTCAGATGAGTTTAATGAAATACTAGAGGTCAGGGACTATACTTTACTCTTAACATGTAAACTAATTTTATCCTTTAGTCAAAATATAATGAATTTGAGATGAAATGAAATCTTAGAAATTTTGGCCTTTCATCAATTATATATATATATATATATATATATATATATATATATATATATATATATATATATATATATATATATATATATATATATATATATATATAAAAATAAACTCGAGCAATTATTATATTATTAACTTCATGTAATAATATTTTTTAGTGAGTGAAATTTTCTTAAGTGTTTAAAATAATAAACGACACGTCTCTCCCAATTGAGACATTATAAACTTCGAAGTACCATTAGAAGAGTAACTCTATGCTTGAGTTACGACACACGTACTATAAGTTTCATTTAAACTCACAAAGAGAGTAACAAAAAGCATTGTTGTTTATGTTGTATGTTCCAACAATTCCCTTGAGTTACTCGGGAAAATAAGACATACTTTGCGTGTTGAAACAGTGTGATGAGCAATGTTTTTCCCCCGATGAAGAAGGATACACACACACACAATGAAAAATGAGTTAATTAACCAATGAAATCGTCATAAAGTTTCTCTGGTTTTTCTCTTGTCTTTTGTCATTTGCAATATGCTCATCTTGGTTTATGTTTTGTCCCCATATGATGCAACTTGTTGTTTCTCAGGCTCAATAAACGAGACACTGTCTTAGTGAGGTCCTTGGTTTGTTATGCCCTTTCTTTCTCTCAAACATCAACCCCTTTTTGTAGTCCTGCCTTTTCAATTGATGGGAAAATAATAGGGAGTGGTCGTAAGAGTAAAATTCTCAAAAGTTCATTTTCTCATCCACATTGGCTAAGGACTAAACACTTCCAATTTCAACTATGTGGGTCCCACTCATCTTCTTTTATTGTAACCAAACAATAATAATGTGGTACGTAATCACACTTATATATAGACTATGGTTAAAACTGTTCTGGACGCGCAAGGCGCAGAATGCAAGAGATCGTTAAATTGACTCCTAACGACCGAGATAAACTCGTTACAAATTACTCCTAGATGAAACTATATGTAAATTTTAATAGTGGTACTAGATATTTGAATTGAATTAGTTGTATGACAGGTTAGGACGTGCACTGCAGTGGGTGAATATGACATGAACAATGTATTATAGAGGGGTGGCATTCAATATCTGACCCCATTTTAGGACACCTTTTTCAGATTTTCAGTCTCACTGCCTTCTCTTCTCTCCTGCCACATATCCTCTCCTCTCCTCTCTCCTCTTCTCTCTCTCTCTTCTCCCACACACACGTACACACACTGTTCCATTTCTACCACATCTCATTTATTTCTCTCCCATCAACTTTCCATCAATATATATATTTATTTACACTCAAAACCATATTAACTGCTCCTTTCTTCTGCTTCTTTACTTTTCACACACCCCCTGAAAAAATAAGCATAACTAGTAAAATGAGTCTCCACAGTTTCCACAAATATACCCTAAAATTCATCTTCATTTCCCTCATTCTCTTTGCTTCTTCTTCTTTCTTCACTCCTTCCATTTTCATGGCTCAAGGTAACTAACTAACTATCTTCTCACCCTCCTTCAATATCAATATCCTCTAATATTCTTGTTCTTAACCATCTATTCATGCAGGAAGAACCATTTCCAATCTCAATGAAGTTGCAAAGGTACTACAACTTTTTTTTACTCTAAATATATTTCAATATGTTGTTTTTCTTAAAAGTGAGTTGCTACTGCTAAATGTGCAGAATGGTGTGGAAGAACATGAACCAATTATAGTAGAAAAATTTCAAATAGGGTCAAGGCCTCCAAAGTGTGAAAAAAGATGCAAAAGCAAGAGCTGTATCCAATGTGAAGCAGTTCAAGTACCTATTGTACCATCCAAAGCTCAAATCCATAGAAGCCATTATTATTCAGCAGCTTATTCATCAAGAGGGGATGGTCTCTCAAACTACAAACCTATAAGCTGGAAGTGCAAATGTGGGGACAACTTTTTCAACCCTTAGTTGACTCAAAAAAAACAACACATCACCAACTATAGTATATATTATTAATTATATTTTCTGTCTCTTATTATTTTGCTTCACACAACACCTTGTATATACTAGTCTACATATTAATTTATGGTTATTTTCATAAGCATATGCTACTAGTTCCAAATGTTTTTTTTTTAATTTTTGTTGAGTGAAAAATGAGAAGTGAAGAAGAAGAAGTGTGTCAGAGAGTTTAGTTTTCGTATGCTACAAGATTAAGATTTTTGTAACAGGAAGATTTATAAAGCAAAGTTGCACCTCGAAGGGATAACATAACGTAGGTGTCTACCTAGCTAGGGATCACTTTGTCTTTCATATTGCTTACGTTTGTTGCATTATTACCTTAGCTGACACAAATATTTCAGTGACAAAAATAATCATACTAGTAGTGATTAATTTTAAAAGCAGTTTATGGCTGAATACACTTTTTTTAGGGTTAATCTAACTACATATGTGAACCTTTTTTTTCTTTCAGAAATGTGTTGATTTTTTCTTTAATGGATCAGTTCTGAATAACCTGTTCAATAATGTATTTAAAAGAGTATCTGGTACATATACTTACCTAACATTAATGGAGGGAAAGAGTTAGGTGAGTTTTTTTTTTTTTTTTGAGTTGCATTCACTTTTATTTCTTCTCACTTTTCTACTTTTTTTATTTAATTTTTATTTTATACATTCTCTCTAATGAATTCTTGATGTATTTAAATGGTTTTGTGTGTGTAAATTTTTTCAATGATTATTTGTTAAAAAGAAAATTTTATGTTAAAAATTGAATAGTTGTTTGTTTAAAATTTGAAAATAACATTTTTCAGTTAAGGGTGTTTGTTTGCGGGCCGGTTTGGTTTGGGTTTGGGAAAATTAGATGTTCAAACCGATCAAAAATATATGGTTCGTTTGGATTTTAATATTCACATTTTTTTCAACAAAATTTAAACTGAAAAATAACGGATTAGTTTGGGTTGGGTTGATCGATTATTTTAGAAATTAATGTACACAAATATTTTTAATTTATATCAACTAATTTTCTATAATAATATTTTTTTATATCGATTGTAAAAGTCACAAATGAGTTTTAATTTTTTATTTTTATTTTAAATTTGAGTATCTTATACTAATTTTTGTGAGATTTTTTTATATAGATTGTAAAATTAAAATTGACTAGTCACAAATGAATTTTAATTTTTTATTTATTTTAAAATTGAGTATTTTATTCTAATTTTTATGAGAATGATATAAATTATATAAATTAATAAATATAATTTGAAAAAACGGATTCGCGGTAAAATTTTGAAAATCTATAACCCAAATCAATTGAAATTGAATTTTATTGGTTTTATTTGATTTTTCTCTGAACAAAAAAAAAGTTTAACCTAAATAACATAGTTTAATTTAGATTTAGATTTGGTTGAGATTTTCCTTAATCAATCAACATCCCTATTTGTAGCATAGAGAAAAAAAATAAAGCTTATAATTATTTTTTTTCAACCATATTAATAAAAAAATATTTTAGCATTTATAATTTTTAAATTGTATACTTTTCAGCTATAGTTTATGCTTTTATATAACATGTGATGTAGTTTTTAAGAATTCATAATAAAATTTAGGTTAACATATATTCTTAGTCTCTTATCTTAATATTGGTCTTTTAGTTTATTAAGTTTTCATATTAGTCATCTCAATTTATTCTGTTAGATAAAATAAAACTATGTACAATTGAAATGACGTGTATGAGAAAGACAGAAACCCAAATGCTTTAAAGAATGAACATTGAGAAAGGCGAAGGAGTAATTGTAATCGAATAATTTCATGATGAATTATAAGAAATTAAAGTATCAATGTTTATTTATTATACACAAGATTTAGGAATAAGAGTTGTTGGTCATGTTACTTTAATTTGAAATTCTAAAAAGATAAATGACAGGATTTTACATTATATCGCATACTCCAATTCACAATTTTTAATAGGACAAATTGTAGAATTGTTAGTGATTTTTTTGATTTTGTGATATATATAAAATTTTAAGCCCTATTTGTAATGAGTTAAGGGTTAAAACTCACACTTTTTCATATTAATTATGTTTTAGATATTTAGCATTTAATTAAAAAGACCACTTAACTAATAAAATGGTTTATTTATGCACCTCCATCTGAATCACAATTAACCCGTTTTTTACAAATTATATAACAACTGATTGTAGTCCACAAAATGTTGGATAAATCTAACATTCTTTCACATGGAAAAAAATCAACTGTGTGATTTTTATTTTTAAAATGACTCTCAGATTAATGACTAATTTCTTAAAATGCGGCAGCATTTTAAGAAAATGCATGACTCCAGGTGCATTGTCTGAACATTACTCCATCCAACAAAAGTCAAGCAATATTGAATTACAACGATTGTTGTATCCTTCATTGACATAAAATCTTCTGTGGTTACAAATATTACGGACTCCGTCAACTAGTCATCATTGTGGAGTGTGACAAGAAAATAGCATGTCAATGTGATCCAACAACCGACTGCTATTTTCTTTGCTAGTACTTAACAATTTCTCTCAAATGCATTAAAGCCAAAGAAATTGCATGGTATTACAAACCATAACGCCTCAACTCCAATATGGCGTCGACCACCGACAGAATAGTCCTGACACCGAGCTTAAAATCATACCTCAGCTCCTATATGGCATCGACCACCTGTATAGTGGTTCCGAAGACGCCGAGCTCAAAATTATAACCATGCCTCGAACTCCAAACTAGTATTAACCATATGCACGGTGATCCCAATGACACTGAGTCCCAATTTTAACAATTGACATATAAATAAACAATGAAAAATAATAATAACAATATTCATTGTAATATCAATTGTTCAAAATAGAAATTACTTGACAATCCAACACTTAAAGCGCCCAAAATATAATACAATATGATAATAAAATGACATAAAGAATAAAATCCCATTAACCAATTACACCAAAAGAACTCACAATGCCCATGTTATCAACATGGTTTTTGAACACAATTGGCCTAAGTCTCTTTGTTTGGGATCAACTAGCATGAAATCAATACCAATGTACTCAACAACAATGTCATTTTCCCTACAAGATCTCTAACTGTCAAATACTTCAATTCCAAATGCTCAAAATCGCTAGAAGTATTATTATTCTTAGAGTAAAATACAATTGCAGTGTTGTCATAGTAAACCTTTAATGGCTTAGTAATGGAATCTATAATACGAAGTCTAGTCATTAAATGTATCAACCAAACATCATGAGTGGAAAAGCATAACAAGCATATACTCTTTAGTTTTTCTGCAAATATCTCATCACTTTCTTAGCATCAATCCAATGATCATTCTCAGAATTAGACTAGTATGGTCCCAAGACACCAACTATGAAAGCAATGTCAGGCCTAGTGCATACTTGAGCAAACATCAACCTACCCAATGCATTATCAAAGGGTTTTCCCTTCATCTCTGTCCGCTCAATCTCATTTTTAGGACATTGATCTTTACTGAATTTATCTTCTTTAGTAATTGGAACATCCCCTGGCTTATAGTTCTGCATATTGAACCTTTCTAAGACTCTATCGATATAAGCCCTCTATGACAAACCAAGTACACTATGTGATCTATCTCTGTGTATTTTAATTCCCAACACACAAGATGCTTCACCAAGATATTTCATATCAAAGAACTTGGTTAACATAAGTTTGGTCTCATGAAGCAGATTAAGATCACTATTGGCAAGCAAAATATCATCAACATATAACACAAGAAAGATGAATTTGCTCCCACTGACCTTAAGATAGATGTACTGATCGACTTTATTTTCTTCAAAACCCAATGAAGTCACCACCTCATCAAATTTCAAGTACCATTGTCTGAAAGCCCATTTCAAATCATAAATAGTTTTTCTTAATTTACAAACCAAATGCTCATTACCACTTGTCACAAAACCCTCAGTCTGTTGCATGTACGCCTCCTTTTTAAGATCACCATTCAAAAAAGTAGTCTTAACATCCATCTGATGCAATTCTAAGTCAAAATGTACTACAAGGGCCATAAATATTCTAGAAGAGTCTTTAGTGGAAGCATGAGAACAAGTTTCATTCAAATCAATCCCCTCCTTTTGTGTGAAGCCCTTACCCACAAGTCTTACCTTAAACCTCTCAATTGCATTTTGTCATGCATTGCATTTGCACACACGTAAGATTGAGAACACGTAATAACTTCTAGATAATTTTTAGGATCAATAACAATACCAACATAATAAGCATACTTACTAAGATAAACTACAAAATCATCAGGGATAGCAGACCGCTTTTATCTTATTGACCTTCTAACATGAATTTGCTCAATTAGCTCATCAGGTTGTGCAATTTCAGCTATAAAAGGGTGCTCAACTACATTTTCAACAAGTGTTTTAACCACATCTTCAACTGGATGTTCAACCATATTCTCATTTGGAGAAAAACCCCTATGAGCAGTGAATGATCTAGCATTATCAAAATTAGGCAGTGACAAAGTAATACAGACATACATAACAAAATCAATATTATCAGATGCAATGATAGACTCAATAACATCAAGCTCAAGGTATTTTGCATGCATGGGATCCACAATTTTATCACCTCTACTAGGATAGAATAAATGAAGTTAGATAATGAAAAACTATTCAACAAATAACCTTCTCAATTTAGCTCAAGTTCTTTGGAATGACTAATGATAAGAAACTTAGGTTTCTTGTCAAAAGAACTTCTATACTTGCTGAATGAATTGTGATATCTGTTGATAGAATAGTAACTTTAGAAACTTTTGAAATAATTGTATTTCAACTGATTTTCCAGATTTGAAAGCAAGAAGAAACACTACCAGAACCTAATATCAGATGCTTTTCAACGTCTAAAGTTTTGAAGCTGATATTAATGCAGGATATAGATAAAAAGAAGCATCTGTGTTCTGAAATAAAAATCAA